TAGAAATACTTTAAAGTCAATTTCAAAAATATTAACTGTTAATTGAATTTCTGGTAAAATCATATTCATGTAAACGTGAAAAACTATTTAGTAATTAAAGTAAAATATAAAGAATTAAATGTAAACAACATGCATTATGGAATCCTAAAGCATGTTGATCAAATCAACGTAATTAATCTTTTCTGATATAATTACACAAGACAGTAGCTGGCAATCAGGAAATTAAGTGAAAATCGCTAATAATCCTTTCGTTGCGTCATCGTTTTTGAGATTAAAATCGATATCACTATTTGATAAATACGAATCGATTTCTTTCTGTTAAATATTCACACACACATAGAAACATCGAGGCGCATTCGAATTTCGAACGGGCCATTGAGAGCGTGTTCCACGTAGTGCGATTATATTTGGCGTTCTCGGAATCCCGTACCTGCGCCCGCGTCGCTTTCACAGGCGAACATCTGCCGTCACTTTTTAGTACTACTTACGCAGCTGCGTGTAACATAAGATTTATTTTTGTATTTTTATTTGCTACCGCTTTAGTGTAAATAATAATATCTGGGAGAAGTGATTTTTATTGAATAAAGAAAACTTCTACGTGCAAAATCATATCTTCTCGACATTTATATAAATTGTTACAAAGTCGGAAAGAATTCTTTTTGGTCACTACTCACTATTTTTAATAATTTCCGTCTCGAGTATAGATGTGGTCAGATATTAAAGACAATTTAGGAGGTCATCTCCAATTCGTGGAAGGTGGCACACTCCGATTTCAATACGATATTGCGATACCGTTGTTCTCGGTACTTCTTTATTTAACGGGAGGGTCGAAATTGTTATGAACATATTCGCGGAATTCATTCCAATAATTTCTATGTCTGTTTTGCGTCTGCGCGTGGAAAGTGGACTACATGAGTACTGTCTACTGTAGATAATCTACACTAGTAATATAACGCCTGACTTAGTTTATATATGCCTGAAATTTACCTTTTGCCAATATTACCTACGTACTTTTAGACATTAATAAAATTGTAACAGCGTAATTTACTTCAACACTCAACCGCTAACACCCGCCAAAATGGCGCGCTTCCTGTTTCTAAATGACATTGACAGATAGGTTATAGGAACGGTTCCTGTATGCCGATGATCAAGCGTTGCGCCGCTTTCTTATAAACAATATTCATACAACCTGTATTCATACAAGAATTTAAAACAAACACTCACATTCGCTGGACGTGAAAATAGAATTCATTACTCATATTTTAGTCTGTGCCATGTATTAAATCACTCGTTCCCGCCTTTTGACATGACGCAATTGCTACCAAATTAATAATACAATACACATTTCATAATCCATAGGCGATCATCCTTGATGTTTATGGTTTGTGCCATAACAGTTGTTCTAGGAAAAACTTGCAGTAAACAAGCCAGTGTTGATCCGTGGCAGTTGGACCGGTCGCGAAATATAAAACAGCAAAAAAAAACATGGCCGCGGTTTCATATGCATTAATTGCCTTGTGCTCGTTTTAAAACTAATCGCAAATTAATCGATTTATGTGCACGGTTCCATTACGATGAATTCGTTTTTAATTGCCCGTAAAAACTTTAAACAACAGATAATAAAACTGGTTAACAGTAACAAAAGAAGTTATAAATAATTCTTATATTTAAATACATAATTTCACTGAATACTTTTAAATACAAAGGCAAGGTAAATGTAGGACAATATTCCTCGTAAATGAATTGTTCAGATTCTCAGAGGTAAATATAAAGACAGATTTGCCTTTTGTTATAGGAACCTTGAATAGAAAAATATCTGAACGTACAATACTTTATGAAATAGAGTGAAATGAAGCCGTAGTTATTCTCGCAAAGGAAACACACCCACACAGTATTATAGTCGGACCTTGTGCATTTACTTTGTATCGTTACTAAGGCGTTTTCTTGAAATTCTCAGCTGAGTGACGATATCTTTCTCAGAATAGCTTTTGTCGTTATTTCTATGTTATTTACAATTCACATTTCAATAAAACGTGGGCTGGAGATTGCTAGTTATTAGAAAAGGTGGTATCACTTTTATGTTAAGACTGAAGAAAATTAAATTTAATGAGAAATAGCTGTATTCAGAATTTGTTCCAACCTTAATGAATAATGTCATTCGTAGAAAAGATATGCGCGATTATATTACCTGATAAGATTAACTATTCATAGTAGTGTTGATATCAAATACCACGCAATGTGCGGTTTCATTTGAAAGCTAAAGAAAGCAAAACCTAGATTATTTCGTAAACGGCACAGACAAGATTATCTCCATTTAATGAATATCTTAAAATTTGTCGATTATTCAAAACTAGCTTTCGCCTGCAACTTCATCTGTGTGGAATTAAAAAATAAACAAAAGTGAGTAGCCTATGTGTTCTTCAGAATATCCTCTACATCTATACCAAATTTCATCGAAATCCGTTTAGCCGTTTAGGCTACAAACTCTAACAAACATTCACCTAATCATTCTCATTTATATTATTAGTACGAAGTAAGATAGTATGATTAGTCTCTAAACTTGAATCGAAAAAAAGATAAATCTATGTCTATGGATACAAAAAACAACAGTGCGCTCCCGCTATAATTATGTCAAACCGCAAGAGCCGTCGCACGTGACAGGAAGCGCGGATCTAGCCACAGAATAATTAATAACACGCATAAAGATACAAGCGTTATGTCGTAATCATGCTAATGGGAATCACAAGTGCCGTAATGCATTTTATTGTTTACATCACGTGGGGTTCCTAGTTGATTAATTACACAAGTTACACTTCATAGATATGATAATACTAGATTATTTACATTTAGCTTTAAGACTAAATATATGATAACTAAACTGGAAAGTAATCTACAATTTCACGTCTACGCAGCTCTTGATTTTAGGTATTTATTTAACATTGGTGACCTAGCTACAATCATACATCATACTAATATTATAAATGTGAAAGTTTAGATGGATGGATGTTTGTTAGAGCATATAGCTTAAACGGCCGAACGGATTTCGATGTTTGGCATAGATGTTGAGAGTAGTTTGCAAGAATACATAGGCTACTTGAATTTGTTTTTTTTTTTGATTCCGCGCGGACCGAGTCGCGAGAGAAAGCTAGTTTGTCATAAAGTCGTCTTGTTGTTTTTAAAA